TTCCCATACTGTGCTACTCGAATATCCAGCCTACTCTAGCCACCTTAGCTGCCTAAACCACTACAGAACAAAACAGCAGGCATGATAAACTAAAACTGAACAGAAGCAAAAGGGCTACTCGAGGGAAGACAAAAAGATGGCTGCATCTGGTACGTGTGTTTTCTTTTTAACGTCTGCCTCTTGCATATAAGGCCATTTTCTCCCACTCAAAACAAATCTAAAACTTTATATTTTATAGTTGAGAGGGAAAGAAACCTTAGAGATCATATAATCCAAACCATCATTTTGCCAGAAATATAAAAAAGGTTTGCTCAAAGCTATGCAGCTGGGGAGCCATTCAGATCTAGGCTCTTATCACAGCAACGGTGCGTGTGCCGGCATCCCGTGCTGGAGCTGAGGATAGGGACGTTCTGTGAGCTTGGGGCATGCCTCTGACTCCACTGTGCTACTGAGGTCTCTAATAGCTGATCTTACAACATGTTCACTGTTCCTTTCCCTTTCGAAATCTCATTTTCCAGGAAAAACTACTTGTACGCGTTGGTACATGGAGAACAATCATCACTACCACCCCGCATTATCCTGAGAACCCAGAGCAGGCACTAACCAGTCCTAACGAGATTAGGTTAGTATGGTAAAGAAATTGTGATAGAAGCTCTTGAGATTTGCTCAAGTTTCCACAGCAAGTTAGTGAAGAACTAGGATCCCTTTTCTCTACAACATGACCCTCAAACTAGTTATGCTCTATCATTTAATTTCACTTGACAGATAATGGCTTGTCAACTATGAAATATATTCTTGAGATTAGGTTAAATTTTGAAAGCAGTGATAACGTGTATTCTGTAATGCCGTTTTTCACAGAATGAGTACACAGTTCATTTAGGAGAAGAGGTATGGTAAAGACAGGACAGACTGAAAAATATCTTCCCAGCCGTCACGGAAAGCTTTTGGTCAATGCCGCAAAGTAAGTGTGTAGTCATCGGGGTCAAAGTGCAGGTTTTAGAATGTATATTCCCCCTAGAGTGTCTGCTAAATACTGCAAACGCTCACATGGGATGCACACTGGCAGTACAGAGTGCAACCCACGCTCTCTTAAGCATGCCAAGTATCAGTGTGGCAGGAGGCAGATCCGCTGTGTCCTGGGGCTTTGCTGCTTGTTTTGGTTTTCTTTCACCAGCTTTTAGTCTCCACGGCTAAAATAAGGAAACACTCGAGGCTGCCGATTTTAACAGAAAGGAAACTATGGCTGCACATTTATAATACATTATAAAGAAGATCTATTTGAGCACACATTCAAAGGTAATGTGACTAAGTCTATTTTAAATGATTATTCAGAAGGCTCCTAAAGCTTCTTTTCTATACACGTTATTGAGCTTACTTCTGGAAAAACAGGTCACTGGTTTGAACTATGTTCAGTGACTTACAGCTCATTGGACAGGGTTATGCAAGTCACTGAGATGTACTCAAGAGACTTTTCAAAGACAGTAATTCTTACTGCTCATTTTAGGAATAAGAGCAAACTTAAGGAAAATGTTTTTGCTGTAACTTTCTCAAGCAACAGTGATTTAAAATTTTCAATACACGAGACCGTCACGAGTCACTCTGTCAAATACTAAGAATCTTCTTAGAACGACAAAAGGGGACTCAAACTGATTAAGTTATGTCATCTCATTTTAGGGCATCTCTCCCACTTCATGCTCACTATAATGCATTTCATATTTCCTAAGCATCTATTTTTATTATTGGAATTTATCTTCTAGGCGTGTTTTTTATTCAAGTATGAATGGATAGATTCCGCCCTTCTCCCCAAAACTGAAGGTTCCACAAAGTCAAAAACCATGTCTTCCGTTTTCCTATAGTACCCATAACAACTGGTAGAATAGGTGACTATTGACTGAATTTGTTCATTAAGCAAAAGACAATGAAAAATGAGACTTTGCTTAAAGGAACAGTAGAAATTCAGGACACCCTCTGGGCGGCTCAGTCTTTGGGACACAGGAGGGTTATTTCGGGAAGGACTGGTTAGCCACCATCTCATCTCTGTACAGAATGGAAACACCACGGTCAGGACAGAGGGAGGCCACTGTTGTTCAGAGTTACTTTTTAGTTAAACTTGAAAAAATATACTTTTAAAATCTGCTTTAAAAGGTTTTGTTAAATAGGTTAAATAGGTCCTATTTTAAAAGTGACCTATGTTAAATTATAGTGAGTATGACCTATGTTAAATAGGTCGCTTTTAAAACTTACTAATGCAATTAATTATCCATCAAAGCAAATTACATGGGACTTCACATGCAGATGGAAAGAAGGAAAGTGCTTCCTGCCACACATTTGCTGGAGCAGTGACTTAGGGTAAGTCTGTACTGTACAGCATATCCTGATTAAATACAGTCCAACAGTATGAGCAGAATGTGCCACACTCAAAAATCAAGATGATAAAGAGGCCATGGAAGAATAAATAAAGGTAAATAAATTAAAGCTCTTTTATAGCATTAAAAATATTTTGGCATGGTGGTTAAGGCAGCTGGGTCCCACAGGGCCAATTGCACAGCTCTAGTCTTGGATCCAGCAGCTTGAAGAAACGTGCAGGCACATGTGCATGTGTGCCCAACCCTCAGAGGAGAATGAAGCAGAAGGGACTGTGCTGTGGCCATCCCCTCCCCTGGCCCCCGGGGAGCGTTCTCACTTGCCCTCTCTCTTTCTGTTTCTCTTGGGTGAGTGTATGCAACCTATTGCAGAATTTAAAAAAAAAAAAAAATTTTTTTTTTCCCTTTGAACTAGACCAGAATGACAGGATTATGTAAACGGGCTCAAGCTGCACTGGAGATTTTAATTTTCACCAAGACACAACAGCTTTACCTAGTAAAGGACAACTACTCCGAATGACTACGTGCTTATACAATTAGATGTCTGATGTAATTTAAGACCACATTCTCTCTATTGACAAATAACATACATTATAATGGGATACTTCTATATCTAAAATATTTAAAACCAGAAATAACTAGAGGTATAGCAAAGCTTTTCAGGCCACTAATTTGGGGGAAGGAGCGCTTTACAAATGCTAGCCAAAACGAGAACTGTCCCAGAACACAGAAATAGGCATGCAGTACAATGTGCAATGGAATACAGGACTGCTGGGATGACCTGCCAGGAAAGCCAGCAACAGTGAGACACTGAGAACCCTTTGGGATCCACCCTGTGCTAGGTGTTGGAGGTTTTTAGCATTGAGGGGTGGAGAACCTTTCTTCAAGGCCATCTCCGGATTTTTGGTCGAGTTCTATGGGTTAGAATCAGAACAAAGCAGAACTAGCTGACCACTACAGAGAGGAATATTTGGGTTCGAGAGAAGGAGGAGCTTTTGTTAAGAAACACAGTGTGTCAAAATATAATGGTATGCTTTGGGACTTAACTGACTCGGTGCTCCTTAATGGAAGTACTCAGACATAATGCTAGCCTACCACAAAGGAGATGCTTATGTTAGGACAGCAGAGAGAAAAACTGAGACCGTTAAATAGGGGAAGAGACCAGAATGGAGGGCTCACAGGGTACTACCAAGGCAAAGAAAAGAAGCGGAACCAAGGAGTTACTCCACATGCAGCCTGTAGTAGGACATTTCACTGAATTACTGGCCTAGGGCAAAAAAGAAGTTGGACAAGGGGAGCTTTGTATAAAGCGCATGGGTCAAGTGCTTGCTTCTCTTTTAATCACAGCTACTTCGCACAAGTTTTTTAATAATTCAGTTGTCTGTCTACATTTCCCTACCAAGGTGTCAAAAGCTCAAGAAGACTTAAATTCTTTCTTCCATAATTAATATAAAAATCAATGTAAAAAGAATAAAAAACTGTAATCTATTAAAATAGGTAACAACCTGACATAACTTGGTTTTAAAAATTATTACTAGATATATACTAATCCCTTTTTCATCCTTTCCATAAATAGCCCAAGTGCTGAAACTCCCAAATGGCATATATGGGTATGGGTATCAAGCTCATATATGCTATTAAATAAGACTATTCCTTCCCTCAAGGGCACCATTCACATTTGCCTATGGGTAAATTTGCTTCATGTCAATTCACTCTCACTTTGCAGGCTTTACTATAGTAAAGATTTAAAATGTCAAAATCTCTATTATCAACTTAACATCTTTATAAATGAGACAGCATATACAGACGTGATAGCACGATTTTCTACCTACTACCTGCTTCTAAAGCTTACCGTTAGCCGAGCATCTTCTCTTTCCAAAATTTTCTGAGTCTGATCATCAGGAAATTTCAATACAGTGGTTATAACTTTTGCCATGGTCTAAAGAAAAAAAGAGACGATCACTAACAGACAGTGAAGCGGACAGAGTCTCAACCCGTTCTGACATGTTCTGCTGGTGGGATTCTTTAGTGCTCTCAATGGAAGCCACGGACAAAGAAGTATGATGTGAAAGTATCAGTCAAGGAAATAATAGCCAACACTAGATTTTCAATTTCAAGGGATTCCTTACAATGTCTGGGTCTAAATTATTTCAAGGAAATGCATTTATAATAGCATGAAGCTGTAGAGAGTTCTAATGCTCTTGGCCCTTTGTCTTATTAAGATGAAACTTTATTGCTCGTTCATTTTAAAATGCTTTTTATTTGCACAAGTCTATCTAGAAAGTGATGTATTGCCAAAACATGTTCTGAATAGTCAAAACTGGGTCTCTCCTGAGGTCAGCTTTCACTAAATCACATCATATATCTCATAAACATGGGCTACTGCATGGACATGAACATGCTTAGTAGGTATCTGTCAAGACATGCAGTACATTAGCCTAATAGAAATACAAGCTACATTGTAAATAAACACGAGATGCTTTGTTTGGTAGAAAACATGATGAATCAAAACATTACACATGGTGGCTTGCAAAACAAGATCAGAAATTGTGCAGATCTAAATAAATATACCGTAAGTCAGACTGTCACCCATAAGCTCCTGGAAAATTCTCCTCAAAGGTTGAAACTCCCTATTTTGTATCAAGATGAGATGTTTTGAGGGAGACAGAGAGGAAAGAAGATACCACTTAAGAAATAAGCAGGATAACAAGTTCAATGCTTACATACAAAGTCAGGTGGCAGTACTCTGCGGGGACTCCTACAGTGGGTGGAGGGTAACCCAGAAAACTGAGCTAGTGTTCTTTGTTTATACGGCTGCCCAAACTGTGTGTGGGAGGACAGGGGGTGGTCTGGGGAAGGTGATGATGGAAAAGATGACATAATATAGTTAACCGAAAATTTTGGAAACGTACTTTACATTATCAGAATAGAAAGTATTATATTGATTTCCAGAAAGGACAGGAACCATTTTTTTAAATCCTCTTATGTACTAAGCTTAGGCAAGACACTTCATGTATTTCTAACACTTACTTGAACTAACAGATCAACTAATACTATCCCTCCACTACAAATCCCACATACAGCAAAACGTCAGTTTCAGCCCTCTTCTTTTTATCTCTGCCTCTGCCAAGTTGACAGTCTAAACAAATGCCATTTCAAACAACTTACTAGTAGTTCTTGGAGAATCCCAAAGGCGTTTTACAAAATCCCTCACTGTTTACATTTTACTGTCTAGATCAAATGGAATCTGGTGTGTTAAAACGAAGTCTAAAAACCAAGCTATACACGTGGCATAAAATGGCAAGAGAAACAGCAACTATTCCAACAGTTTATTTTATTAACATTCTGAATTTTTAGGACGTGACAAAAATCTAAAATTCAGGTATTCACAATTACAGAGAGCATTTCTCTTCTTTTCAAAACTGTATAAAGCTCAAGGGATCAAAAAGTCCATTTATATTACTAGGAAACCATGTACACACGTGTGCACGACCATGTTTATAGAAATGAATAGCCCACAGCCTCTGTCTCTTCATACTCCCAGGCAACATCAAACAGGAGCCCTACCTGACTTCATCAGCAGTATCGAAGCTGCAGCAGATTACCCAGTGGAGACCTAGAGCTCACCCCTGGCTTGCCAGATACCTCCTTGATGGACAAGCCTCGGCTCTCTGACACACCTTGGGAAAGAAATCAGACTATCTGGAATACAATATCCTCAGGCCCTGGGAAGTAAGGGAAAGCTCGAATGAGCCACCTGATTTAGATTGGCTTCTACTGTCAGGTTCCCTGTAAGGAGAGGCTTCCTCAGTGAAGCTTAGGACGAGGAACACTTTTTGCTAAAAAGGAGAACAGGCTAAATTTCAGTGTCAATAAAAGTTTACAGGTAGGGCCAGCAAGTGGCATGGAGATTATGACAGCTGGATCTCATATGGCAGACGTTATGGCTTAAGCCCCAGACCTAGGGGCTTGAAAAATCTCTCTGGGCACATGTGCACACGTGCCCAAAATCCCAAGAGAAGGATGGAAGAGGTGGGACTGCAGCATGGCCATCCCCACTGTGGGGGCAGGTCTCACTATTTCTTTTCTTTTTTATTTTTGGAGAGGTTTTCGCTATAGGGCGCGTACGCTCACCAGACAGAGAGAGACAGAGAGACAAAAAGCGAGAAATCACTTCCCAGGGGGGATGGCCACGCCGCAATCCCTTTGCCTCCATTCTCCTCTCAGGATCTTGGGCACGCACGCACACGCGCCTGGCGTGAGTTCTAAGCCACCGGGTCCGGAACACGAACCGCAGTTGACTACGTGGGAGTCCAGCGACAGAGCCATTATGCTAACTGCTAGTTCCCAGGTCTCACTATTTCTCTCCCTCTCTGTCTATAACTGTCTCTCTCCTGTGAGCTCATGCACCCTACAGCAAAAAACAAAAAAGCAAATATAGGATGAAATTGTAAAAAAAACCCCAAAACTACAAGAACAGAAGAAAGGAGCGCTTACTTAACTCCATGCTGTAAGAATGTGTATACTCGGGACCAGCAGACAGTGTAGTGGTTACACTGCTGGACTCCACATGGCCATCAGTGGTTTGAGTCCTGGACCCAGTGGCATGAAAATCACACAGGGTGCAAGTGCCTGGGTGTCCAAGATCCCAGAAGGAGAACAGAGGAGATGAGACTGCATGCAGCATGGCCATCCCAAGGGGTGATTTCCCTCTCACTGTCTCTCTCTCTGTCTCGCTGTTTCTCTCTGGCAAGCTCACATGCCCTAAAGCAAAAACTTCTCAAAAAACAAAAGAAAACAAAACAAAACTGTATACTGGGGGCTGGCAGGTGGCATGGTGGTTAAGGCACTAGACTCCCACATGGCTGACTATGGTTCAAGTTCCAGGCCTGATGGTTTGTTTTCTCACTTTCTCTTTCTCTCTCTAGTCAAATTAAAATAATAATAAGTAAAATTACATTAAATAATTCTTTAAAAAAGATGTGTATACTGTATGTGGTCATCTTCTGTCTCATAAAAGAAAGAAGACTGTATGTAAAGCAGATGAAGAAACACAGGTGAGACGGCATACAGCTCTTGCCACACAAGGAACAGCTACGGGTGGTCATTAAATCGCAAAGCCCTACATACTCCGGCTCATTCCAAAACCACAACTTGGTCTCCATTTCAAATTCTTTGCTAATGTACAGAAATCGGGCAAATCAGAGAATAATGTGTGTAAAATCAGCTCTGATCTTGTCAATCCCTGCTCAAAAATGTTCAGGGCTATGTCCTCCCCAACACATACAGGTAAAACTCTGAAACACTCGAGGCCTTCCCTCTACATTCTGCTCAGCCTTCCGTGGGAGCCCTTCCACCTTGTGTGGGCTACTCCTCCCAGCTGAGCTCATCTATCAAACTCTAACACACACACAACCCTTAAAGCCCAGTGTAACACATTGCCTTTTCCTCATATCCTCCCTGCTCTCTCAAGGAAAATATGAGAACCCGGTACCTCTCTTAGAAAGCCATCACTACATTCTACATCACATATGGTCAACTCAGAACTGTTCCAGTTTCTTACTACATGGTGAGCTCCTGTAAGTCAAACGTGGTTTCAAATTTCATCTTTCTACCATCACAGTGATAAAGGGCAACGAGTAGTTAAAACCTCAATAAATGCTTGGTAAATTAACCTGAATATCTGCTACCACTTTTCAATGTTTACCTATTAAATGTGATGGCAGAATGATAGTCAACTATTATTTAATAGCTAGAAAAATACAGTAAACGTCGAAGATAAAGACCAGAGAGAACGTTCTTAACCAGGCTGCCCACCCAGGCACTCGACGGGGCTTGGCTGTGTCATGGACACCCTTTCGGCGATCTCTCAGGTCAGACTCTGAAATCAAGTGCAGGTGCCTGAAAGCGCTCAGCTGAACAGCGGCCACTCCAGAATCCAGCCTATGCTTGTTCTGGCTCCTTCCCTAAAAAATGGCTCTTTCACTGTTAGGACTCAAGCTCTGCAGAGACCTCACCTCACATGCATTCCCGACCTCCGGAACAAACAGACCGAGGCAGTAGGACTCTTCATTTCACAGATCAAGGGAAGGTTAGACAGCCACAGAGCGAGTTCTGAGAAATGCATCCTTAGACAATTCGGTGGCAGAGTGGACATCGTGGAGGGAATTTACACGACCCTGGATGGCACAGTCTATACACCTCGGCTCTATGGTACAGCCTATTATAATCTTACGGGACCACCATCACATGTGCCATCTGTCACGACCACGACACGGTGATGCGGTGCGTGACTGTGATCCAGTGAGCAACAACATTTGGATCACAGGTTTACATTCTCTAATGACCCAAGATAACTAAAGTTCAGGGCCTTGTTTTTTTTTTCAAGTTATGTCACTTCTCCCAATGCCCAATGTAATCAATCACAAGGTAACTTTGTATGATCTACCACACCTAAAATACTGACTGCTGTTTTATATCCAATAAGGACATTTTTTTAAAAAGCTATACTTCATTAGCTTTGTTTTTAAAAGATAAGAAAAATACTTTTATTAGGTCGTTGGAAAAGTCATGATGCATTTTTGCACAGAAAAATATATTATGACTTCAACAAACCAATAGCTGCCCCTCAATTTCTAAGTCTTTGGGGAAAAGACCACTAAATTACTGTGAATTAATAAGGGCATGCTTCAAAAGTTCACATAAAAGAGAATGAAAGTACAAGTTTATTTTGGTATAAAAACTTTTTTGAAATTCACATATAGTTTTTAAATAATATGTATTTTCCATGAACTTCTTGATGACTCCTCATCACTCTCTCATGTGATGCATGTTCACAATCATAGTAGGTATTTTTTTTTTCATTTGGAAACTAATTTGACTCAAAATCTCTGTAGATTCAAATGGTGTCTAGCTTTATAATTCTTGGTGTTTGGCTAAATCTTCAGTATATAAATTAATAATGTTCTTTAAGATGTTTTCTTTTGCCCCTGCTCTTTAGATTTTAAATATTTTTGGCAAATGGAAGCCTGGACTGGCTTAGCATCCTATGACTCAGCAACCCCCAATCTCCCATAGGCTAAAACAATGACTGCTTCCAAGGACAGGAAACCCACTATCTCATTCTTCGCCAAGGTATACGAATGGTGTACACTTCCATGAAGGTAAAAAGTTGCAACAGTACAAAAAACAGAAACTGCTTTAAATGTAAAATTTTGTGAAATAAGCTCATGAAATTTCCTAAAAGTATTCGATTAATTTCAATAAATATTTACCAAATATCCAATATATGGCTCTTTTTAAACACTACAGGGGATTAAAAATAAGAATAAGACAAAACTCTACACTCAGGAACCTTACAATAAGTGTAACATTCTAGAAAACAAATTAATCAAGCATTATTGCTTACATAGTGTGGTAATTTAAAATAGCCAATATTCCACATGTGTAAGAATTATTTTAACAGTGATAGAGCAGAACACTTCTAGACCCTAAGTAGCCATTCTTAATTATGACCACTTCTAATATTACCCACAACACCCTAAAATCTCCTTGAAAATAGAAGCTATTCTTTAATAAAAGATCTGAAGTTAAGAAAAATAGCTACATGCTTCAGAGATTATTCTTAAGTTAATGAAATTTGTTAATAAAATTTTAATTTTTAGTATTTAGTATCATCCAACAGCATTTTAAAATAGTTATAAATGTAAATGTAACAAACAGAAACAAGATCTTCCAATTCACTTCCCTAAGCTATGAGCAATAACATAATTACCTGCTGCTTCCTATTAATTTGCTAATAGTGAATGTTTGCTAGCAGGTATTCAAAGTGGAATATATTTCCTTTAAAGTTAAACCACAAACCACATCACTAGACATGCTTTATACCTTAGTCTCACGACCCATCATATACTCAAAAAGCACTTTTCGCAAATACTCAAATTCGGTAGGTTCTCCAAGGAGTGAGACATCAGTATGGTGCAAATTGCCACCTGCCAAATAAAAACAGATCAAATTATGAAGACCAAACCAGATAAACGACTTACTACTTAGAAAACAAACTAAAAATAATCAATGAAACAAAGAGAGGCACTGCTTTTATATCAATTACACGTATTACATGGCATATATACAATGAACATTTCAACTGGTGTTTTATTCTTTTTTAAAATAATTATTTTATTTAACTTTATTTATTTGTTTTAATTTGACTAGAGAGGGACAGAGTAAGAAAGAAAGAGAGAAAGAGAGAGAGAAAGTGAGAAAGCAAGTTGCCAGGACCAGGACTTGAACTGCAGTTGGCCACGTGGGAATCCAGCGTCCTTAACCACCACGCCACCTCCCAGCCCCTCCAACTGATATTTTATTCTTGAAGACAAAAGAAAAATGATTATAATAATGTTATTTCTCATATCTCTTTCTCCTCCTCTTCCTCCTTTTTCTGGCACAATTTTAAAAGACTATATTTAGGTAATACAAGGACTCCTTAAGACTGGTATAGCTCTTCTAAATATTACGTGGTTGGTCTCAGATACTGCATAATGACTAAAACACTGGGTTGTCGGGAAAGTCATGACGTGTTTTTCTATGCAAAAATGCATCTTGACTTTCCTGACGACCGAATAAATAATCACTTTATTTTATTAAGGACTTACAATTTCAGATTAGTATTCTAGTTTTTCTAGTATCCCGAATTTAAAAGCACTTAGTTAAAATCTAGTTTTCAAAACTGCTTTGACACAAAGGATAGATGAAATAACCTGAACATACACAAAACAATGATGTTAGTGCTTTTTAAATACTTCTATTTGACATCTTAAAAAGACTACTAAAAAGTTAAAAGTCTGGGGCCACTTGGGGGGTGCAGTGGAGAAACATGAAGCTCTGCATGGCAATCCCACATGCGCGAGTTCCTAGCTCCTATCCGAGGCCTCTCTGACTCTCTGAGACAAAAACGTGCCCATTATCCGAGACTGGCTGAAACTGGGGATGGATCGTGGCACTGAGAGACACTGTGGGGGTGCTGTCTCTTTCTCTCCCTCTCTCTGCCTCTTTCACTTATGGAAGAAATAAACGAGTAAAGACCAACAAACATTAAAGGTCATCTATTAATCAAGCTCCACTTCAATCTTAATAAATAATTGCATTTACTGAATAAATACAATTCAGGTATATGGAGTCACATACTGACAAACTTTAATCTGAATAATCCCTAACTACGCATTAGGTAGTATCTATAACTACACTTGTACCCTCAGGCAGTATGGCACACTGGGTGATCTGAAAAGCCCTATGCACCCAGATGTTGAATCAAAACATTCTGAGATAACAGGTAATCCCTGAAGGGGTGGAGATAAAACCACAGCAGTCATGACAAGGCAGATGGGAGTCTGGGGTGCCAAGGGTAACAGCTATTTGAGAATCTGGCTCTTACAAAGCAGGAGAGCAGAACTACAAACTGTAATGTAAGGCAGAGAGGGAGGAGGAGAGAGGCAATCAAGAGGAGAAAAAAAGCAAAACATGGGACCAGCAGATGGCGTAATGGCTATTTGCTGGACTCCCATGTAGTCAACTGCGGTTCGAGTCCCAGACCCAGTGGCTTAAACTCATGCTGGGTGCAAGTGTGTGGGTGTCCAAGATCCCGAGAAGAGAATGGAGGAGAAGGGATTGTGGCATGGCCATCCCCCCTGGGGGGTGATTTCTCGCTTTCTGTCTCTCTGTCTCTGTCTGTCTTTCTGGCAAATGCATGTGCCCTATAGCAAAACCCTCTCAAAAAAAAAAAAAAAAAAAAAAGGAAACAAAAAAGGGGGTTTG